CCAGAGTTACTTCATAACTGAGGGTATTCGGCATTCGCCATGACGTTGAGAGTGTTTGGGTTTCTTGGATTGCCTGGAGGCAAACCGATGAAGCAGAGCTCTGTAGTTCTTCGTCTGACGTGGTGACGGACAAGAGGGCGACTGTAAGCAAATGGAAGGGTGACTGAGGGACTTTTTTTGCCTTTTCCTGCTTCAGTTCCAGCAGTGATGAGTTCCCTTCACTGTGCCTTTTCTCTATTACTGGTTTAATAGTGAGTAAAGACAGATGTCGTTATGCATCTCTCACAGACTTTAGAAAAGCTGGTGACGACCTTTAGGCCCAGTATGAGTTGAGTCACTTTTACAGGTTAAAAACTTAGATGCTCATCGTGGTTCTTTATTTGTACATTTGTACATATAACCAGCAGTCGAGGCACACTGGAACTCTCTCATCTGGAGCATCTCTCAGTCATGCTCAGGGCTTTGATGTTTTGCAATAAGGTGGATTTTGCCATACCAAGCAATACATGTATTTTAAAAACATCACTTTTCAGATTTAATTTTCCACATTGTATAGTTCAGTAAAGTCACTTCACTGACCGGCGGTAGGATCTGGGACTGGGAGATCAGGGTGCGAGGCAGCTTGACATTGTAGTTGCGGTTAGTTGAGATGACTTCTGCCCAGGTAACCTGGTAACCAGTTAGCTGCTGGTGGGATGAAGTCATAGATATATCCCAGCTAAAGATAGCTGTCACATTGCCCCCCAGGACCTCAAAAGATGCGATCAGGTTGGTTGGTTTCACCAGGACTTTCTGAAGATTCATAGCTGAAAAATACACAACCGGACAGTCCAATGAAGTCAGATACTGGAAAGGTTTTCCTCTCCATGAGGAAGCAAGTGGCATAAACTTCCAATCACTCACCAGAAGAAGTATAAAAACAGACAGACTGGAACATGATTATGCCTCCTCAGGCAGTTTGAATATTTGTGCATATGATTCATATTTACATCATTGTGCTGTGTATTTATACTGCTTTTGAAATGTGAAGGGTTAAAATGGGAAAAACAATCTGGAACGCTTTCTGGCACCTTCAGGAAATGAGTAGTTAAATCTGACAGATAAATACACAATACTGAGTTAAGTTTGCATGTTGTGCTCCAGCCGACGACATCCCGATATTTGCTCAGTAATAAGAAAAGGTGTCGATGTTGTGCTACCTCAGAAGCTACTGAAAAAAGCATACATGCAATTACATTTTAAGGTCATTTGAAGCACATCTTTTCAAACAGCTCAACAAATACCATCAAACAAAAGATTTTAATATGTGTACTTTGTTACTGCATCATTGTAACTAATGTAAAAGTGCTATTTTTACCAGAAGGAAAAAAATATGTTAATGTCATGGTAATGTGATGGACACTCAATGGAGAGGTGTAAGAAAGAGAGGACATGAGAGGAAGTTAAGATTTTATTTTGAAAGGTAAGGATTGCTCAACAAGTGAGATTTGATAATCTGGAAAAGTTCAATTTAATTTATATTATATAATTACACCTATATGTACTGTTGCATTATGTTTTTGTTAACTTTCAAAACTAACTGAAGCGCACAAATCTTTGTGTTATTCGAGGATTGTGTGAAAAACGGGGCAGTTTAATACAGGCTACACTGACTGGTTTGCAGTGTTGCTATTTACAGTTGCATTTGCTGCACTATTTTGCACCATGTTATCATCATAATTCTTTTCTCAGCGTTGCACTACTACACCCAGTCTTAAAGTTGTCTCACTTCCCATTTCCAAGTTTAACCCCGATCATGGGTGTAAAGTTTCAAATTCCTCAAACGATGTACGGAAGGTAGGGGAGGGGCTGGTTGCATCGAGAGATTTGATTGGGCAGTTCAGCGTCAGTAATGTTTTTATACATATGTGTGCTGTGAGTCAGGATTGTTTTGTGTCTAAAGAAAAAAAAGGCTTGATTAGAAGCTAGCAGAGTTGACCTCGCTGACTCGTGCTGCACTTAGAAAGTGTTGAGGTGTGCAGACACTGATAAGTAAAATGAAATAAACAAGCCATTATGCGTTTGCCTCACCGGTTTCTCTGGGACAGTTGACAGGTGTTGGACTCTTGGCCTGGATGGTGGTGCAGGGAGGCGTATGAAAGCTGGTGCTTTCTGCCAGAGGATGACTCGTCTTGCTGACTGGCTGCAGAAGGACTTTGTACTTACAGGAGAAGAGTAAGCCCTGCAGGCTGATAAAGCTCTCCTAGATTAGACAGACAGGGTGTGAGCATGGCTGACTGGAGACTGATTCCCAATTTCAGATTACTGCAACTCTCATTTCACAGCAGGCAAGGCAAAGACTAAAATCACCTGTTCACGATGCATACGTTGTCTCGTCTTATCAATAACAAGATTAATAAAAGCAGTCCTTTTTATCTGTACCACCCATGTGATGCCTTTCAACTCTGTTTTGTTTTGGCTATGGAAATGAAATAATTTCACCTCCATGATCAGAATGATACTCATTTATTTGAATAGGGTTACCTTTGTACTGGTCTCCTCCACAGGGCTGGTCTGGTTGTGTCCGCAGTATTCAGGTCCCCACTGGATTCTGTAGAATTCAACCAAAGGATCTGCACACAAGAAGCCATTAAGAGAAGAAGCAATGTTTATGTTGAGTCTTGCACTTTGTTCATTAGCTGTATTATACTGCTATGTCCACGCAACCTTTAAAGTGTTTTCCTTCTTTGAACCTGCTTTTTGAAACCTAGTTATGTGATGACACAGATCAGAGTGTTTTGCTCTGTCGCTTTTTCCCTCACGCTTCCTTTGAGTGCTTTTATGGAGGTTGTTAGGATGAGAGTTTATCCACCGTAAGGATCCACCAGCTGTTATTCACTATAGTACCTGACAAGGTGACGAGATTTGAATACTCATTCATGAGATCCAATATGGTGTCTCACTCCCATTTCTGCTTTATCAGATTACATATTCACTTTTTATTTCATGACCTATAACCCTGGATTTTACTGCAGAGATTAGGTTTTTGATTCCAACCTTGCAGAAACATTAAACCACCAGCCCTGTTGTGATTGGGGCCATTTGTGGTGTCTTCTTGTCATGTGATGACACTTGTCTCCAGTCACCAAGCACTCGCTCGGTGAACGTGTGTGCTTCCAACCACGGCCTTAAAACTTCAAGTTCATCCTTGTTCTTAGGGTAGAGGTTTTAGCAGTGCTGCACTGTGTCTTCCTCTTTTCCAGATACCTGAGCCATTATTTTTAAATGTCAGCTAACTAGTGAGCTTACTGCCCCATGTACACCAATAAACCTTTACTAAACTGCTGAACTTTTAATCATTACATCTGAGTTATTTCTGACCTGTATGTGGGTTAAAGCCCAACGTTTCCATATCCTGCACAGCCTTCGGGCTGCAGAGAAATAGAGCTGTTTCTAGAAGCGAGAGGTGGGAGCTCACAGTTTGCATCATTGAAAGACGGATTGTCAGTCACATCAGGGAAAGATTACGGGAGCGACTAAATCCCTCACTCCACGGGACATTTTTGCACAGTCCACTGTTTGGCAGGTCAACATAACTCTTTCTTCCCCTGTGTTAACTGTGAGTGTGGTACACAGCATTTATTTAGTTTTTAACTTTGAGTCTGTGTCATAAAATTGTGTTTTTGCTCTGTATACTTTATTTTTGTGCTTGTTTTCTTGTCTTTTATGCAGTTTGGCACTGACTGCTGTGATGCAGTAGTTTCCTAGAGACATTTAGCAGCTCTAACCTAAGCTCGTGTTTCAAGATTCGCTTCAGCCTCTTGCTGATGTTGTGAAACTGGTGGTTAACATTGTGTCTCATGGCAGCAGACCAGCCTCCTTCCATAACATGAAGTACTCATCATATTTACACCTTCTGCACAGAAAATACGTTTCTTTTTCAGAATAACGTGTATTGCAATTTTTGCTGAGTAAACCTTGGCACATTTATCTCTGCACGCTGTTTCAAACGGGGTATTTGTCTTTTAACAGCAGTTGTTTGAACGTTTGCAGAGCAGCTGCAGGATAGCTCAGATGTTACGTGTGATATGATTTGTACATACCCACGCTTCTCTGCCAGTAAACATGAACCCTGAGCTGTCCGTCCTGGTAGAACGGTGTCCCCACATCCAGGACGTCACCTGCAGGGCTTCTGGGAGCACTCGTGCCTTCAATACAGACAGAATACAATTAAACATGAACTGCATCACATACAGTGATATCCAAACACATGCCATGACACAGCCGCAGGTACAAAACCCTTTGGTATCAATCATTGGAGGTAATTATTTTCTGTATGACTTGTATGTCTCAAGCTGCTGTGGAGGAATTTGGGCCCCCTCTTGATGCTGGTGGCCTGTGAACAGCTCTTCTAAGGTCCCATCACAGTATTCATGTGGAGGTCGGGACTTTGGGCCACAGCTTTCTGTTATAGATTTTGTCCTGTTGAAGAGTTGCTGTTTTGCGGTCTGTGCACTAGCATGAACTCAATACTAAATATGCTAACTGAGGCCTTTGCAGTCTGACTCTGGATGAATTTGCTCGGGCTCCTGGGATGGGTAACCATCTTGAATCTTTCCACACATGAATGATATTTTTTCCTGTGGTGAACTTCAAACTTCGTTATAACCCTTCCCAGACTGATGAACAGCAATGATTACATCACTGCTGATGTCGTTCCTCCTCAGTGTGTTAGTACACACCTGAATGCTGCAGACTTTGACTCTCATCTACTGATAACCTCTTAATAAAGTGCATCTGACTGGGAGAAGCTGGACACTACTTACTTTTCCTCCTAATTCGGATGGAAGCAGTAAGGCTGCGCTGCACAACAGCATAACCCTGTAAAACCTTTGTTTTTCACATCCCTACCTTTATGTTACCTAATCTCAGTGAATACAGAGCATCACTGTGGAAAGCTGATAGGTCGATCTCATTCAGGGTTTTTTAGAAGATAAAGTTGAAAATGAATATTAACTTATCATCAACTAGATGTACAGTAAAACCCAAAGTAAACAGAAACTGACTGAGGGCCTCCATTGCACATCAGAACGTGTAGGTTTGATGACAGTTTCTTCGTTAGTATTAACTATGACTTCATTTTCCCATCCTCGTGGATCATTCTGTATCTGCATGCAACAGTTATTCCCACCCGTGTCACACGGGGGGCTGTGCACGTGCTGATGCATCTCCTGTCTCTGTTTTCAGCCTGTTGCCTGTGATTTTAATGCTTCACTTTCAAGTTTTTATCATTTCATCACTGCAAGACTTAGAATAAAAAAGCAGTTTCTCCTTTACATTAAAGACAAATCTGTACATTTAATTTTGCCAATTCGATATATACATTTGGAGGCGGGGCTTATCACAACATGCTTTTGTGAATGAACTCTGGTTTCCAAGCTTGTGAAGGTTTTTCCAAGAACAGAAATCCTTCAGCTTGTGAAAATGCTGAAAAACACACATACTTTGCATTTTAATGTCACGTACAGAAAACGTTGATGTGCTGGTGAACCTTTTCACCTTGAACGTTCACACGCCGCTTTCTGCTCTGCACAAAAGCACAGACGCTGACAGCGACTTCACTTCAGTCCTTCTTTCATGAGGCACTCACTCTCACGCTCATTTCTGTAATTGTCAAGAACATTTCTATTTTTTCTTTGTATAATGTCAACCACCTCTTTGAAAGGAACGCCTCGACATTTTGATTTTCAAAGCTAAGAGTTTTCAGCCCCGTCACACTGATAAGTTTGTAGGTGTGGAATGTTAAGGTTGCATCTGGAGTGAAGCTCTGAGATACAGGAGATCAAAGATTGAACATCCCAGCAGGAGAAAACCTTTGAAATATTAAACCCCAACGTGCTTTTTTTAAAAATAAAAAGTGTCACCATAAGAGTGTAAAAGCAGACCTATCGACTATACAAACGGAGGAAGCTTTCAGAGCGAGCCTAAACATCTGAACACGCTTCTACACTTTGGGGAAATTTTAAGCCGACATGAAGACGTTTTCTTTTCTTCACGACAAAATTTCGAGCTGGAGCTGAAAAAGCCTCGGTGTCGTGTTTCCGTACTTTGCTGCGTGGTGAAGTGGAGGACAGCGCGCGGTCCTTTGAACTGAGTTTGTCCCCAGTAAGACACAGCCTGAACCTCCACACTGTAGCTCCTGTTGGTCCTCATGCCGTCCAGCTCCACCTGGCTCTGTGCACACAGACACACACAGACACACAATTAGGCACACACCACACCACTGATTCCATGTTATATTCAGGTCATATTTGCTTCCAGGTGTGATCACAGATGTAAACATGCTACACACACTCCACTCCACGAGGCTTTCGGAGAACATTACATGCATTATATCTTTCTTGGGTCTTAAAGAGAAGTCGTGTTTTTGACGTGCTCCATCTGCAGCTGTGGCATTCTCACCTTTCTGACCGTCTTCCTCCTCTTGGTCAGGGATGAGGCGGAAGAATGTCCAACTGCAGTCCAGCTCCAACTGACCTTGTAGTGGTGGATGGGAACATCCAGGTCAGGAGGCATGCTCCACTCAATCCTGGCTCCCACTGTGCTCCCAGGACCAAAGCTCATATTTGCTACTCTCAGCTCAGTGGGAGCAGGAGGATTGGAGGGATCTGAGGGGCACATGTTGGATGTTATTAATATCTGTTTGCATGCAGAAACAATGACCTTTAGTGCACTGACATGTGCTTAGTTTTTAACCCATCCTGCAAAGTTCACAATAGGCCGATTCATTCACACGTTACTCTCAAAAGAACCAAAAAATCGATTCCAGAAGACATCTGCCGTATTTACAGGCAGTACTGTGTGGCAGGCTGTGGTTTGTGGCTTGGCTGCAAGGGAGGAGCAGTGGGTTCAGGGCATGGTGTCAGGGGGGCTGACCGCCATCATCTGATCATGTATTTGAGTATATCAGCAGGACCAGAGCAGCGGTCTGTGCGGCGTGAAGCGGAGGAGGGCAGCTGGAAGGCTGCTGCAGAAACAGATTACGGATAAAAACGAGCACTCGGCGTGTACCGCTGTGTGCGTGGGTCCTTCACTATCACGCACTACCATTGCATTCATTAATAGTGAGGACTGCTGCCTACCATTAGCGTGAACTGGCTGGATGCTGGTATTTATATCCGGTGCTTCCTCAGCCTGATCACGATCAGTGATCAATCAGATGGTAAAACTGTTCTAATAACGCATTCCAGCACATGAGGGCACCACCTACACTGCGTCCCTCAGTACCTCAGCACCGTGCAGCGACAGTGGGAGAACGCCATGAACACGTCTGAACTGATTAAGGTTCACATCTTTGCGCCTTGCCGAGGCGGCTCCTCTGAGACTGTGGCAGCTACAGAAACCACACAGAGCAAAGCAATGACTCCTCTGAGGACTCTCTCCATAACCTCTGCATATATGCCACAGTACAACCATTTGCTAAACAGTCTATTTTCCCTTGCATAGCTTCTAACTGTGCCAGTGTTGATATTAAGAACTTTTGGCTTCTTGACTTTAAGTTCATTAAAAACATCTCTCTTCTCTATCTCTTCTACGTCGGGTAGTAGAGGCAGGGGTGGGCCTGGTGCTGTGCTCTGTCACTTTGTATTTTCTAAGCTGTTAAAATATATTTTGCTTTCAGCTGATGTCACTGTAGCTGGTCGGTCTGAACTCCTCTTCCGTCACCACCTCTGCCTGTTTGAACGTTGCTGCATCGCCTACTTTCTTCACTGGCCTACAGCCACTCTGAGGATCACCACATCAGCACGGCTACATCACCACAGTCACTCTCTGTTGCCAGACTTTGCTGTTGTGTGTCTGCAGCTGGCAGCTTGTCCAAAGTCTGACTGTCACCTGGCTCCAGCCCCCTGACGGTGACTCATTGTGGTTAATGCTGCTGTTTGGCGAATGGGAGGAGCGGACTCGATTAACACACACACACACGCAGACATGCAATGTGTGTCTGACCTGTGTTTGAGTGGAAGTGTCTGCTGGGCGTGGTGAAACCTCTGGTCCCGTGAAGGTTAACGGCTGCCACTCTAAACTGGTACCAGCGACCGGGCCGAATGTCTGACAGCCTCGCTCTCTGCTCCGTCGTCTGTTTGGGAGAAAACAGCGTGTTTGGTCAGTGTTTAGGTTTCTGTCTTGGCGATGACGATTTTTAACGTCTAAGAAAATAAGTTGATAGATTTTTAAGCATGTCACAATTCATTGTTGAGTTAAGAGGAATTTACCAAAATGTCTTATGACCCGTAAAAGGTTTGCAGAATATTTGAACATGCAGTGATGAATTTTAGCGGATACAGGTACAGATGCAGGCTTGTCTTTCAGATTTCCACCTCGGACACTTAACCTCACATTAATGCACAGCTGCTAGAAACTGCAGATGAAGTTATTAAACTACAAGCAAAATAATAATCTCATGTCTAACAAAGTTACAAGTCTGAAAATTTGAAATAAATGTGATAAAATGTGTTGTTGCTGTGCCCGCCGTACATGTGGAAACTGTAACATCTACTTTTACCAGCAGCACTTTATGAAGTTCATGCCGAGCTGAGTTCAGCTTATTATTCGCCTCCACAACAGTCCCAGTGCATCATGTGACGCCTGTGTTGCAGTGCTGCCGCCATCAACAAAGCAAAAACAGAAACAGCAGAGCTGTTCTGTCAGCACTTGGAGACCCAGCACCTTACAAAGAGACTTTATTTGGGCTTTCTTTCCTTTAATTTGTCACATCTCAGTAACAGTAACAGGCAGTTAACTAACCTGTGCAGCCACCTGCCACGACGTGGCCGTGTCCTCGCTCGGCTGGATGCCAAAGTTCCATCTCCTCTGCAGAACGTAGACGACAGGCTCGGCCGAGATGTTGAAGCGCGATGACCAGTGCACCTCCAGCTGGCCAGAAGACACTTCTTCAAAGGCTAGCTCCTTCCTTGGCTTCAGAGGAGCACCTGGACAGACAAAACATCCACCAAAGGTGAAACAGAGTACAGAGACTCTTATGAGCACAGTGCTGTCCATCATCTGCTGTAGCTCCGCAGTGGGGCTCCTAGTCAGCACCCACCAATGCTGCAGGGATCTGCAGATTTACTCAGGGAGAATTTCCACTTCATTTGTTTGAGTAAAGGCCCAGGGGGGCATTTTTTAGGTTATCAGGACTGATAACATTAGAGTGCGTGTGCCTGCATGGGTTCTCTCTGGATACTCGGGCTTCCTCTATGTCATCAAGTGTGGCTCATTTGTGACCAGTCCAGGCTGTAGCCTCTCACCCTGCGACAGCCGGGATGAGCTCTAGCTGAACTGGATAAGTGGGAGAAATGGACGCATGGAGCTTCTTTATTATTTCCTACAGTCAAATCGTTAAACACAGTTATAGTCAGGGCTGCACATAAGTGGTCCGCAGGTGCGCATTCGCTGTCAAAATAAAAGACGCGCACCAGATAAGAAGTTGCAACGCGCGTTTGCGTCCATATAAAAGGCACTGTTTTTGTCCGCTAGAGTGGGATTTTCACAGCACATTCTGCACCACATCTCTGTGCGTTCATCATTTGTTTGAAGCCAGCTCACCTCCTGCAACCACTTTTCCGAGAATACGCGCTTCTTTTGTGGTTCGGACTCCTTCTGACATTTCTTTGGAGGTGGAGGAACACCTGCTTAAAGGAGCTTCTTCGACATCTTTAAGAGTTCTAAACAAATGTCTGTCCTCCTCCAGAAAATCTAATGCACGCAAACGCGCGTTGCAACTTCTTATCTGGTGCGTGTCTTTTATTTTGACAGCGAATGCTCACCTGCTTATGTGCAGCCCTGGTTGTAGTGATGTGATTCTGGCTCAACATACCCTTGTAGATGTCACTGGGAGTCTGGCAGGTGTGGCCACAGCTGTTAGAGCAGCATTTCTTCTGAGCAGAGCATTCTTTGTCGTGGTCACAGCTTTCCACACAGGCAGCAGCAAAACCACTGGCTCTCTGTGGAGGTGGACAGCTGCCCTGCTTCACCATCAGCACAGAGTGCAGGAACTCACAGCTGGTCACACACTCCCAGTGCTTTCTGGGAAACACCCGCTGGATGAATCAAAGGCAAAGTAGTTAGCACAGGTTAACTACTGTTACAGCTACTTCCTGCTCTTTGCTTAGAACATGGTGTAATTCTCACACTTGACATACGACAGTGAAACAATGAATAAACTGTGAAATATGATAATGTCAGGTTTGCATCAATAAGTAGCATCTAGCCAAGAAGATTAAGAAAAGCGAGACAAAAAGAACAGCACTGAATATGAATAATATTTCCAGGAACAGGCGGATTCTCCAGGTCTTTACTGGGACTGAGAGTTTAACAGACTCTCCACCTTTATTTCAAACTGTGATTGCACAAACAACCCTCGGCTGTTTTTGTACTGTACTCAGAAAGCATACAGTACGACTGACTCTATGCTGCACCATACCTCACATAACTCTCTGCAGATGCCTTTCTCCTTCATCTCCCAGGAGTCTCTGCAGGGCTCCAGGCACTGTGGAAGTCAAAGCAGTGTGAGCACGTTTAAGGTTTATGGTCAGAGATGAAGAAATACATTTGGAGGTTATGCACAGTGAAGTGTTCATGTTTTATTGCTGAACACAAGAGTGTGAGACAGTTTAATGTCTCTGTGAAACTGCAGATTACAGCCTGTCACATCTCGCTTTAGTTAAGTATAAATAATTGTAAAAATTATACAAACAAATGCAACGACGCACAAAAGACATGTACAGGGATCCGCAAGCAGGCAGGTGTGTGTGTGTGTGTGTGTGTGTGTGTGTCTGTGCATTCAACTGATTGTACCCATAATATTAACTTCAATAACATGAAGAATAATTGGTGCTTTTTTCATGAATGTTATTAATTCATAATGATGCTGTTGTTTGCAGGGGAAGTGGACATGAAAGTGTGGTGACATCACACTAGCTGCACAGTGAGGACATCAGTGCCTCCTTCTGTCTCGTCCTTTTTAAATATGATCATATTTCTCTGTCATGTCTGTAAGCAAACACACAAGGTGACACAACTCTGTGTAGGTGCACACCTGTGTGAGGGGATTTATGTTACACTCGGGGGGTTTCTGGAGCATGTCAAGCGTTAACAGTGTAGTGCTCTGCACCACAAAGCCCAATCCTGCACCAGTAAGCAGAGGCAGCCCAGGGGAGCAAGTGTGCGCTGGTTCTAATTTCATGCTGTAGTGAGAAGCAGTGGGGAAAAGTGAAAAGCACGACAGCCTCACGAGGGCATATCAAGTCATCTGAAAGTTGGAGGAGTGCTCCAAATGCTCAGCAGACAAGGCACACGCTGCACAGGAAGTGACGCTTCACTAACTCACAACACTTTTGTCTGACCTGGAAAAAACGTTTGTTGCACTGTAAATTCAGTCAAAACACAAAGTTATTGTACTCAAATCTTCCAAATATGGTATCTACTGCCATACTTACTCTGGCATTACGTTGACCTCCAGTAACACTGCTGGGAATCAGGATGTGTACATCAATCCACATATAAACAAACATCTAGGACTGATTTCTTCCTTTTGTGCAACATCTCTAAAATTAGAAATGTCTCAGAGTGAAAACGAGCTCATGCATTTGTTTATAGAAAGAGCGAGCATGTCTGCTGTACTGTTACATCCAGAATCACATTTAAAATCGTTCTCCACAAACACTTCAGGCCCGTCTTACACTCATAGTCTCTCATTGTGTCTCAGACTATTTGTGTTTCACTGGATATTAGATGACTCTATCACTCATACCGTCCTAATCCAAGCTGTAGATCTTTAATGTCAATAATATGTTTGCAACAAGCAAGTCGTAAAACATCTACCCCTGAATGATTTATATCGCCATGCTGAAGCCTGGTGTCGCTCTGATTTGGTAGGACAGAGCACCCTGAGTAAAGATCCGGCTCAGCTGGCCTCAGGCTGCTTCCCAGTTCTCATGTGCACAAACTAAACTCAGTCTAACGTTGTATTAAATAGACATAAAGCTGCAAGACAAGGTTCCATTAATTCAGTTTGCACCATTGTTTCTGCATTATTTCGTACAATAACATGAGCTGTGCATAACCATGAGCATCATCCTGGTCTCCCGCTCAGACAAATGGTTCGATCCACTTTGCAACACTGGGAGATGCAGTTGCTTCAAGTAATGACACCGATTCCTTTGATTCAGGTACGCAGCACAATAGACAATAGACCGCAGAGGAAGAAGAAATGAAACGACACAAATTGGGCTTTAAACATCCTTCTTGGTTAAGCTCATAGTCCAGGCTGCGGCTCAGGAGACACAGCGGGGTCATTTACCAACCAAACGTCAGTGGCTCGATCCTCACAGTGTAACTGTGGCTTACAGTCACACATGTTTACTTCTGTGTATTTTCTGTAAAGCTTACAGATTTGTCATCGCTGCTTACAGGGGGGACAATAAGCTTTTGGGTTAATATGAAGCCACAAACGCCCTCTGATGAAAACAAGCCACACATGTCGGGTTGTAGACGTGCTGAATGAAGCAGGTGTCGGTGCTCTTAGTGCTCCACGAGGAAGAGTTCAGCAGCACAAGCAAGATGAAGAATCCGTTAAAGATTGTACACGAGTCCACAAGACAGGAGAAGCAGCATGTTGTGTGTGAGCGTCGGAGCTGCTGCAGAGCCAAACAACAACACCGATGACAGACTCGCTTTGTGCCTGATGTTCCAACTAGTTTGGGTCATTTGCAACCTGACGGAAATATCTGTGCACAGAACAACAACGAGCGACAACAACTTCCAGCCACTCAGTCGGCGGCTTTATCTGTTTGTTCTTCCAGCATCACAGATCAACCCTTAATGATTATGTACAACTCTGAGTTTGCTGTCCCAGCGTGAGAGGCAGTTACATCCTGGTCAGGTCGCCCTGCAGGGCTGACAAGGGAGAGCTGCACAATTATGTGACATGATGTGCTGTTTTAGAGCCCCGTGCTGAGGCAACCACATCTTTTAATCAACAAAAAGGTTGTGAAAGTTAAAAATGGGCAAAAGTGATGTGCACTAAGATAAGGGAAGATACAGGGAAGAAGAAGTTGCTGCAAAGTAGAGTGTGGCCCACACTGTGCTGCTCCGCAGTGGAGTGTCTGATTGCCCTGTTCCAGGCCTGTCATCTCCCATCTCCTGTCCACGCTCTCCACAACAGGACGCTTCCACTAACGCACACTGACATTCCCACTCTCGTGTCATTCCCTTTGTAGCTCAGCATCACTGAGTTTTCTGCCCCATTTCAAGCTTAAATCATTTTTGTTTCACTACTGTGAAGATAAAGCAGCCCATGAAATGTATTTCTCACTAAAACCTGAGCCGTGCTGTTCTTATTTACCTACAACGCACAGCAGTGTGTGTGTCATTACACTATTATTATTGTAGTGCAGTAATTCTGTTTATGTGGTCATGTTGTGTGTCTTGGTTTAATGTTGGGGTTAAAGTGAGGCCAGGTGCAGGTTTGGGCTGGTTGGTGTTGGGGTGAGTTTCAGCTATGGTCCACATGATGCCTTCTAAACTAATGGAGACATTATTGTGCTGTTGGGTTATTTTGGCGTTGGATGTTCCTTATTCCTCCATGACCAAACGGAGATAATGGAGCAGCATCTTCTCTGCTGACCGTGTAAAATGCCGTTCCTTTGGTTCCTGACACGGTTTGATTCTCTGCCCAGACGAACCCCACAGAGACCAAACAGGCCGTGTTTGTGTCTTGTTTCCTGTTTGGCATTGGCTCTGAAAATGTTCCAGATTTTTGAACATCCACAGGCGAACTTTAACTTTTCCTAGCAAGGTACTTTGTTTGCTTGAAAATATGAGTTGAAGGAATGAAAGAAAAGGTTTTCTGGCTCTTAATCAAACATCATATCAAGGCTGTTGTGTATTGAAGGACACTAATTACTGCTGAGAGGAAGAAGGTCATTACACTGCGCTCGATGCCAGTTTGTGTATGTTTCGCTCAGGACACTGGAGTCAGCACGTGACTATGATGCTCGCTCATTGTTCCAGTGCCACAGTGCCATCTTAAGCCTTTTTTAAGAGCTGAATCGAACTAGACTGTGTGGGAGTGTCTTGTTAACCAACTCTGGCATTTGCAAATGGCTGTATGCCTGCAGGAAATAGTGACAGAAGGATTAACAAGCTCTCATTACCACCAGAGCCCATGAGGATGACATGAGGCCAAAGTGATAGGCTGTCTCACAGCAACAAGGATCAGCAAGCTTATCATCAGACCTCTCTAAGATTAAGAGCTGGGCAGGGGTATGTTGGAACTGGGACTGTCATGTTAGCCACACTCACAAGTCTGACATGAGTAATATTTTATAACACGGAGGAATATTAAATCTCTAAAGTTGTCACTACGGAGATGTTTTATCTTTTACTGTGGTTCATATTTAAAGTGCTGTTTGTCTGTAAGTATAAAACTGTCTAGATGCAGGCTCATAATCCAGGTGTGGAAATCTGGAGTGAGGCCCACATCCAGCCTCGGTGTTATTACTGCTGAGGTTCGATGGCGTCCGTGATGTCAGACAGCTGACAGGTGAATGTGGGCAGACATGAGTGGAGGATTTCGTACTTTAATAAAGATCTGCATCGTCATTTAAGTTTCAGACGTTCGTTGTAGTTCTTAAATCAGTCTGATATTTTAAACGTGCATGTTTGTTATAAATGTAAGTAGGTATTATATATTTAAGCTGTTAATCAGCCTATCACAGCGGCCCCCAACCTTCTTTGTGCCAGGGAGCAGCTTAACGTCAGACGATGTTTTCATGGCTTTAAGGTGCAGATAAATACGACAAAATTAAAGACACGACCGCGACAGAAACTGGTATTTTGTAAATATAATAATAGACGTGAATTCACTGTGTAACTGTGTAACGTTGTTAGCAGCGTCCTCCTGAAATGCACCGACAACATTGAGAGGAACATCCTCCTCTCTCCCCCTTAATGCTCTCTGGTCGCTATGGTAACTCTTAAACATTTCTTTCAAAATAAGACGCACGACTACAACTCGGGGAAAGACCCAGGAAACTGAGTTAACGGTGAAAACCCTGAAAATCATAAATTTCACAGCTGAAAGTGTGAAAAGCCTCAACTCTCTCTCCACATCCAGCCTCTGTGTTATTACTGCTGAGGTTCGATGGCGTCCGTGATGTCAGACAGCTGACAGGTCAACTCTCGCAGCGACTGTACCTGCTGATTCCAGGTCTTTCTGCAGCTCAAGTTGGCTCTGGGACAACTCTTCTGATAACTTTTTTCACTCCACTGTCTGAAATCTTGTGGGGAACAGCTGTCTATAGTGACATGATGTTGTTTCCACTTTCAGATTATGGCCCAATAGCGCTCACTGGAACCTTCAGTAGTTCTTCTGTAACCAGTCCCACCAGGATGTTTTGCAACAACAAGGCCACTAAGGTCGTGAGAGATCTAACTGGTACCAGTAAGTCATTTGGTACTGAAACATGGTACGTTTGGCCCGGGGGCTCGGGGACCGCTGGCCAACATCATTAAGCCTTCCCCTGATAAATGTGCATACAATTCAATTCAGATTAATTTACACAGCACCAAATCACAACTACAATCACCTCAAGGTGCTTTATATTGTAAGACTGAACAATAATACAGAGAAAGCCCAACGATCAGATGACCCCTGAGAGCAAGCATGTGGACACAGTGGGATCATTAGAATCAGTTTTTATGATCCATAAAGCCTGGTGGCATAAATCAATCAGTGAAACTACAGGCTTATATTAAAGACATAACGCTGTGGACGACCTCCAATTTCCTTCTAAACTCAGACAAAAAAAGTTTTTATATTTACGACTAAAAGTCTCAGAAAGATGGTGTCTGACCGGATTCTTGGGGCATTACCTTCATTAACATATTTCCAGGCTGGACGACTGTAATTCATTATTATCAGGATGTCCAAAAAACTCCCTGAAAAGCCTTCAGCTGATCCAAAATGCTGCAGCAAGAGTCCTGACAGGGACTAGAAAGAGAGCAGATTTCTCCTGTTTTGGCTTCCTGTTAAATCCAGAATTCAAAATCCTGCTGCTCACATACAAGGTCTTAAATAATCAGGCCCCATCTTACCTTAATGACCTTGTAGTACCATATCACCCTATTAGAGCACTTCGCTCTCGCTCTGCAGGCCTACTTGTTGTTCCTAGAGTATTTAAAAGTAGAATGGGAGGCAGAGCCTTCAGTTTTCAGGCCCCTCTTCTGTGGAACCAGCTTCCAGTTTGGATTCAGGAGACAGACACTATCTCTACTTTCAAGATTAGGCTTCAAACTTTCCTTTTTGCTAAAGCATATAGTTAGGGCTGGACCAGGTGGAGTTGAACCATCTGTTATACAATTATAAGCTCAGACTATTGCAGTACTTTGTGTGATGTAGCGGCTCTTCTTCTTCATTCATCTCTTTTCACCCCCACATGTTTATAGACCACTGCATCGTGTCATGTTTGTCTTCTCTGTTCCTTGTTGTGTCCTGTTACATTAAAATTAAAAAAAATATTTATGCCCAAAATGGTGACTTTAAGTAAATTCATTACATGTAAATTTTCCATGTAATTTGGGTATAAATGTTACATTTAATGGAATCTGATATACAGTCAGTTCATACAAAGGATGTTTTCCTTAATGTTTAATTATTTAGATAAATAAGCATTTTATTTTCTATAAGTTTCATTCTTATCAAAATGATTGCTTGATGTTGCGTGTTAGAGTATCTCACATTGATAAGCTCTGATTTGGGTTTATTTTGCAGCAATGGGACATGGGCACCTTGCACAGGACGATGATCTCAGCAGCAAATCTACAGCACAAAGGCTGAAAAAGAAAAGACTCAAAGTGCTGCAGTGGCCCATCACAGAGCAGAACTCCGCCTGGCTGAAAGGACAGAGAAAAGCCCACAAACGTCAATGAACTGACGTAACACTAAAAAGCGGCTGGCCAACATTCCCCACATCAGTGTCAGATACTAATAAGTCATATAGAAAAGGATTGTTTCTAATTATTGCTGCTAAAGATGGTTGTTCACGCTGCTGAATCATGGATAAGCTACTTTGTTTTTCACATGAGTGGATTTAAAAACACCAGGACTACCTGAGCATCATTTCACAAACAATGTTCAGATTATCAAAAAGATAGCCATCCATCTTTTACTGTCTGCCTCTTTCATGACTCCTGATGTATTAACAGGGAAACTGCTTTGACATATAGGATGTCACAGAATAAAGAGCCACAACTGGTGATGAATGGCAGACTTAAGAAATGGGTAATAACCACTATAATCCTCCAGCACGTCCCAGTACATACAGATGTACACCTGTGCACAGAGCACGCTGTCAGGTTGCATGTGGCCTGATTTATTGCTGCAAAAGCAAGGAGCATAAAACTACACACACATGAGGAGAGCGAGAAAGAGTGATTTATTACTCTGAAAGGCTCCAGCAGTCCCACATGACTTCCTATTTTTACACTCACAGCTAACTGAAACTCTTCGGTTCTTGTCCGTGATGTAAACGTGTATATGAGAACAGTGTGTGCCAATAATTCTATCATTTACATTTTAATCTGCATCTTTTCATTCATACTGCAAAACAAGGGGGAATTTACATGATATACATTTATAGATTTTTTTCCAGGCAATTCCTGGATTTTTAAAAATGTACTAAGGGAGAGCAAGTCAGAGGGGCCCGTGGGAAATAAGAAAATCTATTGGAAATAAATATAGAGTTGAGAAACGAGGGAAGTTGTTTTGGATTCAAAACTGCATGTTAATGGAAATACTTGCATCCTTACAAAGGTACAAAAATACTTCAATAAAGTGCTTCAGATTGAATGAGGAGCACATTCACGTTACATGCATTCATGCATTCATGCATTCATGAGCGCATCACTTTAAAAACTTCTGTCTTATACTGTATGAAAATAGCACAATGTAAAACACTTCAGACTACAAGCCACATTTAAATCATTTAGTGCACTTCATCCATCGTGCATCCACACTTACAACAATTAACTTAAACTGCATGTAGTGGGGAAACCCACACAGGGAGGAAGAACATGTAGTGTGGCCCAGTTAACCAGGAGATTTATCCAGGAGGTGAGAGTGTTGTTATTTTCTATGGACAATCAGAACACTTCATGCAAATGAGGTTCAGGAACAACCCACTGTCTCAGGTTTGTGTGACGAATGGAAAATCAGAAGGAAGTACTTTTAAAAACGTCTCCTACCTTTGCACACTGTTTATGATTATGACACCAGCCCAAGGATCCGTTATTCTGAAGACGAGACTAAAAGGAGGAAGACAAGGACACAAGCATAAACAAACGGGTCTGTCTGAGTTAAGCACCAATGAATCCGGTTTAAAGCTGAGTGATGTCACTTTCAGAGGAACGTGAGAAACCAACAGGTGTCTAACTTTGCAGACTGTTAAAGTATGGAATAGGAACATCTAGTGCCAACCCTGTTCATTTAAATAAAGCATGCAGACCTCATAGCTCAGATACTTTATGCACGATGATCTTTTCCACCAATATTCAAACTTCCAAACATGTTGCTGTTGTCGGAGCAGCTTCTGTCTTTGGGATCAGACAGCAAAGACTGGTTGCAGGCCTGTTACTCTGATGTTTTTAATCCTTTAAGAGACTGGTGCTGAACAAGCTAAAAGAACATCACACCATCCGTCCTGCCTAATGTGGATTCATTTCCCAGCAGGAACAGAACAGACAGTTTTCTCTTATCACAGAATAATCCAGTGCAACCGAATACAACCTCCAAAAAAATCTTATGACCTGGTTTTAAAACACAAACATCCAAAGTGCTCAGTTGGAGACAAGACAGGATGCCACTGACCAGTAAGCAGCGGTGGCTAGATCCATTTTTGAATGAACGCTGAGAGTCTCCTGCTCTTCTGGAGTTAAACCTGCTGACTTGGCTGGTGAATAAAATGACAGTAAGAAGAAATGTTTGTTTCTTTTTAATCTATGAGCAGCTGGGGGATTGTTCACTGTTCTCCTTTTTTCTTCTTTCTTTCCATTTCAAAGCCGTTGAAAATGTTGGCAGCAAACAGTGAGATTGAAATATCGAACAGTGATTGTCTAACAGCGCCGTTTGCTCTGTCTGTAGATAAATGGAATATGAACGATCGAGAGCGGAGACAAACTGTCTTCTGTTTGGTTTTATTGAAGCCAAGGTCATTATGTCAATCAACAGTTTTACTTATTTTGTTATTGGCTGTTTAAAACTGAGCTCGCATCAATTTCCTGAAAAGACTCCGTCTACAGAATCACAGGAATCGGATAATGAAAAAGTATTCATTGACTTTTTCCATGCAATCTTTGCCCATTCTTCTTTGCAAAATAGCTCCAGTTTAGTCATCTGTGAATCCCAATTTTCAAGCCTCACCACAGAACAACAGGATCTAGGTGTGGACTTTAATTCTAGCACTGTCCACACCACTGCAGTGTAGCTCTGGCCGTTACCAGTTTAAGCTGGCCACTGAGCCTCACATGTGGGTGGCTGTAGCTCAGGCAGTAGTGCAGGTCATCTACTTATTGGAAGGTTGGTGGTTCGATTCCCGGCTTCCCCTAGTCTGCATGCCAAATGTCCATGAGCAAGATACTGACCCCAAATTGTTCTCTGATGTGTGTGAATGTTAGTTAGAAAATGTGCTTGTGTCAATGGGTGAATGCACAAGTTGTGTAGTGCTCAGAAGAGCAGAGAAGCGTTATATAAGAACCAGTCCGTTTGCAGTGCAGTGGGAGCTACTGCATCAGGTCGATAACTGGAAACATCACCAGCGTTAACAAATGAATCATTTCTAAATTTTGTGAAAGTAGAAATCATAGCGGAGGTGCTGGATTAGACAGTGGTGAAACATAAAACATATACTATGGCCCTACAGGACAAGTCGTGCTTCTAACTGTGACTTTCACAGGAGCTTTGTGAGGAACGGAGCCCAAGAATAATTAGTGTGAAAAACCTGAGGATGGACGTTAACTACAGTCTAAATCTAAAACAGGGTACAAAGAATAACCCTAAAATAAAGTGACACGCAGATTCACAAAGTCAATGTGAGCATGTTTCACACTTCAATAGTTAATGAATTGACCTGAGTGCTGTGGGAATACTGGCTACTGCAAAACTAGGAATGGCAAATGATGTATCAGTGATGTCTGAGGGGCAGCTTTGGAGAGCTGGAACTGAAGCAGGGACACAGTACAGTAGTCTGCTTCTTGGCATGTTTGACGAGCACCACAGCACACATTACAGGCTGGACCGTCATTCTGTGCAGTTTCATTGGACTAAGTGAGGCACACTCGAAAGCCTGAACCAAAGAGTCAGACTGCAAGTGTGTGCACGTGTCAGTGTGTGTGTGCACGTGTCATTGTGTGTGTGTGTGTGTGTGTG